TACATTGTAGCAAAGTGTAATTTCTTCATTGTTGTCACATGAAAAGATATAATAAAAAATTTGCAAAAACGTGAGGGGTGTTCTCAATTCTGTGAGATAGTGTATATATATATATATTTTTTTTTAATATATTTATAACTAAATTGTTTTTTTTATTTATACATTAACTTTTTTTTTATTACCTCTTTTGAATACCTAATTTACTATACATACATATATATGTATAGTAATTTAGTTATACAGATTACATTGTCCAAAGTGACAGTAAAGACATTTATAATGTTACAAAATATTTACATTTTAAATAATCCCTTATATTCATCAAAGAATACAAAAAATAAAAAATCAGTTTCCACACAAATAATAAGCAGCACAACTGCTTTTAACATCGATAATAAGAAATCAGCTTATTAGAATGATTTCTGAAGGATCATGTGACACTGTCATAGGAACGCATCTCGGAGGCCAGTATAATATTGTTTCTTATAGTTTAGAACGACTTTCAAAACTTGTAAGCAGAATATCTAGGCAACATGTTTAGGCACATCTGAGGCACTAAACATCAGGAGAAAAGCAACAGTGTAAATAAAGCTGGTGTTAAGTCTAATACCTTTTTTGTTTCTGCCGATCTCTTTCTTTCCGTGAGGAGGGTCCCAGGTGCTGTCCCTTCTCCAGCTCTTCACCCGCAGCCTTCAGCACGTGACCCTGCACTGAGGTGGGCAGCTTACCAATCAGAGGGGCCACTAACCAGACCCCTGAACGCTCGGAGGAACTGGAGGAAACACAACATGCAGGACATGAGCTGCGCAGCATCGCTTTCTTCTTACAGCTTAGACACTGATAGGAACACTGATTTGTGTTGTTTGAAGAAGAGAAGGCCAGTCCATCGACTCCATCAAACTGAAAATAAATAAGAGCACAGAGCCCTCAGCTACAAAGCAATGATTGGGGTCACCGACCTGAGCACAGGTTTGAGTTTGCTGGCACTGTTGCTATTGGAGACGGAGCTGCCAGAAACCGCGGAGCCATTCCAGGTGGGGTTACTAGAGTTCATCTCCGCAGACTTCTGGAAAACTTCGATGGTGGCCTTGGCTATGTTCTCCAGAAGAGAATACAGCTCCTGTAAAGAGTGGGTTCAGATGTACAAACCTTAAGAAAAGATGAGAAATCATCAAGCGGAGATGAACTCCGCAAACACGCTTCGGCTTACGTTATTTGAGCTTTGCTTGATCATAAGCTGTAGCTCCAGAGACGACTGTCTCATGGTCCACTGGTCCATGTTCTGTAAGCAGAAGAACAGACGGAATATGGAAAGAATGCTTTTAAAGCAGAGCTTAAGAGCCCCAGCTGGATGTTAATTGTTTATGAAGATGAAAACCAATCCAGAATAATGAGCTGCTGTGAGACCCACACAAATCATTAATGGCTTAAAGGCTAAAGGGTGTGAAATGAATAATTAAGCTCGGGGAAATGACTCTCTGTTCATTCTCTGCCGCTCTTCCATCGCTGACAGACGCAACAGAGCTGCCTGGTGTCTAAAACACCTGTTTGTCTTCACGTATGCAAGCCTGGTCTACTGGGTTTTAAAGCTGATATTTGCTTTTTCTGCACTGAGAGCATCATCAAATGGATTTGCAAAATCAATGACTGTTTTCAAACAGGTTTTCAGAAAACTCCTCCGCAAATGTGTATAAACCTGGTATATTACAGTGTTTCCCAGGACTCTGTGAGACTATGATGGGTGGACACCGAAATATCAAGAGAATATTTAGAAAAGTTTGTACATATTTAAGTTAAGCAAAAATGAAGGACTCCAACCGCTTTTCAGTCTGCAGTGATTTGTAGCAGGACTTTAAAGTGAACTAAAAACCTCTTTTTTTGTTGTGACAGTGTGTCAGTCCACATCACATTCACACTGGTATTTTTAGGAAGCCAAACAATAAAAAAAAAAAAATAATAATAATAATAATAATAATGAAATAAATTGAAATTATCATTATTATTACTATTGTAAAACAACTGCACGGTAAAAAATATTTTTAATATTTTAATAGTAAGTATACAGCTATGGAAAAAAATTAAGAGACCACCTGAAAATTCTCAGTTTCTCTGGATTTACATTGTGTTTGAGTAAAATGTAATTTTCATTTTATTCTGAAAACTACTGATAACATTTCTTGCAAATTTTAAATAAAAATGTTGTCATTTAGAGCATGCAATGACAATTGGTCAAAATAACAAAAAAGATGCCATGTTTTCAGACATGTTTATATTCATTTTTAGACAACACAATACCAATGTTTTAACTTCAGAAGAGTTAAAAAGTAAATATTTTGTGGAATAACAAGTCAATATTTGTTATTTTGACCAACTGTTATTTTCTTAAAGAAAAAAAAAAAATCTAAATGACAATATTTTTATTTGAAATTTGAAAGAAATTTTATCAGAACTTCATAGAACAAAACAAATTACCATTTTACTCAAACCCATACCTAGTAAATCCAGAGAAACTGAGAATTTTCAAGTGGTCTCTTTTTTTTTCATAGCTGTATATATATATCATACATGTGTCTTAATTTCTTCACAAGTGCTAAACCCTGGAGCTTTTATTTTGGTGGAAAACTGCAAGGAGGCCTTAAATCTCTATGACAGCAGGTATACAAACACTTCTCATTACTACTGTGTTTGAGTAAAATGTAATTTTCATTTTATTCTGAAAACTACTGATAACATTTCTTGCAAATTTTAAATAAAAATGTTGTCATTTAGAGCATGCAATGACAATTGGTCAAAATAACAAAAAAGATGCCATGTTTTCAGACATGTTTATATTCATTTTTAGACAACACAATACCAATGTTTTAACTTCAGAAGAGTTAAAAAGTAAATATTTTGTGGAATAACAAGTCAATATTTGTTATTTTGACCAATTGTTATTTTCTTTAAAAAAAAATTTTTTTAAAAACTAAATGACAATATTTTTATTTGAAATTTGAAAGAAATGTTATCAGAACTTCATAGAACAAAACAAATAGGCCTATTAACATTTTACTCAAACCCATACCTAGTAAATCCAGAGAAACTGAGAATTTTCAAGTGGTCTCTTTTTTTTTCATAGCTGTATATATATATCATACATGTGTCTTAATTTCTTCACAAGTGCTAAACCCTGGAGCTTTTATTTTGGTGGAAAACTGCAAGGAGGCCTTAAATCTCTATGACAGCAGGTATACAAACACTTCTCATTACTACCCTAGTGAAACAATGTAAACATGTAAACAAAACTTTCAAATTCATGCAACTGAAAATAAAGTGAACCTGGTGCACATTGTGCTCCCCGTTATATATATATATATATATATATATATATATATATATGTATGAGCATATGCAGAGAGTGAGTTTTCTGCATTTACTGTGAACCGAGCCACTCTGAAACACAGAGCATTAGAATATATAGGCTACTTAATTAATTAAATTACAGCCTTTTGCGATTTGATAAGTGCACTAAGCGATAATTTGCGAATTTGGATTATAGTTCGAATGACAGATACTTTGCCAAAGCAACAGCACAAAACACAATGTTAGAGGTCTTTTGTAATTATAGGTGTAAAAATATTTTTGGTTCTGTATGAAACTGGCAGGACAGATTATGGTATGGGAAACACTGTAATGTTTAAGGTAATATTTAAATGCATCTTAACTTAATGGTTTCGATGTGATGTGAAAATCTAAAATTTCACTCTATACTACTATAAAAAGCTCAGTCAACTCAGGAGCAGATGATGGGGTCATGTGAGAGCGTGTGACCTGCAGGATGCGTTTGATGCGCTGTCTCTGAGGATTCTCGCCCTCCTCGCTGTCCAGCTGCCTGTGTGGGTAACAGATGAGCTGCAGCAAGCGCTGAGCCTGGATGTTCACCAGCACTGGGTCCTGCAGAGCACTGCTGTCCTCCGACAGAGACTATCACAGCACATGCAGAGAGTGAGTTTTCTGCATTTACTGTGAACCGAGCCACTCTGAAACACAGAGCATTAGAATATATAGGCTACTTAATTAATTAAATTACAGCCTTTTGCGATTTGATAAGTGCACTAAGCGATAATTTGCGAATTTGGATTATAGTTCGAATGACAGATACTTTGCCAAAGCAACAGCACAAAACACAATGTTAGAGGTCTTTTGTAATTATAGGTGTAAAAATATTTTTGGTTCTGTATGAAACTGGCAGGACAGATTATGGTATGGGAAACACTGTAATGTTTAAGGTAATATTTAAATGCATCTTAACTTAATGGTTTCGATGTGATGTGAAAATCTAAAATTTCACTCTATACTACTATAAAAAGCTCAGTCAACTCAGGAGCAGATGATGGGGTCATGTGAGAGCGTGTGACCTGCAGGATGCGTTTGATGCGCTGTCTCTGAGGATTCTCGCCCTCCTCGCTGTCCAGCTGCCTGTGTGGGTAACAGATGAGCTGCAGCAAGCGCTGAGCCTGGATGTTCACCAGCACTGGGTCCTGCAGAGCACTGCTGTCCTCCGACAGAGACTTCAGACACCGCTCACCCACCCACTCCTGAACCAGAGAGAAAATATATTTCCACAAGATTTGGAAGATCACATCCTCATTTTCTAGCCAGTGGTTAGGATATGAAAAATGTGCTTCTTTGCAAAGGAAAATATGTGACCCTGGACAACAAAACCAGTCTCAAGTCGCTGGGGTATATTTGTAGCAATAGCCAAAAAAAAACACTATGGATCAAAATTATTGATTTTTATTTTATGCCAAAAATCCTTAGGATATTAAGTAAGGATCATGTTCCATGAAAATATTTGGTACATTTCCTAATTGTACAAACCAAAAACATAATTTTTGATTAGTAATATGCATTGCTAAGAACTTCATTTGGACAACTTTAAAGATGATTTTCTCAATATTTTGATTTTTTTCGCACCCTCAGATTCCAGATTTTCAAATAGTTGTATCTCGGCCAAATCCTATCCTAACAAACCATACATCAATGGAAAGCTTATTTATTCAGCTTTCAGATGTATTATTCAATGTATAATTAAAAAAATTGACCCTTATGCCTGGTTTTGTGGTCCTGGGTCACATATTTCCACGATTTGAGTCTATAGTGGTATTATAATATGGATTATAACAGCTAAAATCACTCCAAGTATGACAATCTGATCCTCTTAAAACCCTCACCTGTTGGCAGATGCTCTTCAGCACATACTTGGCATAAACCACCAGACTGGCCGTTTCAATCGAGACATTACGTCCTCCGGATTTTTTGGACCCCACGTCATCCTCTCCGATGTCGTCCAGTCCAGCAGAGTGGGAGAAGCCCGAACCCTTCAGCTCAGCGTCTCCTGGAGAAATAAACACAAAGTCACAGTTTTTAGGGACCAATCAATTCTGAATGCATTAACTGCCAGCTGGGTCTCATTATCTCCATCTCCCACTCCTCTGAACTTTAATTTGTTGCTTCTGGCCAAAATCCCAGACCAACATCCATAATAAACCTCTCTCCAATGAAAAAGTCCATCCCCTGTTGTCCCCTCACATTAAAATCAAACCACATTTTTGTTTTTTTAAACCGAGCATGATCTGTGCATATTTTTCTCCTGATCCAGACGAGATGACTTTTTCACTGGTATTATGGATAATGGACTATTTAGCTGGAAACCACAGTTTGAAGTTATATAAGCTTTTCGCTTCACAAGACATTAATTGATGGACTGGAGTGGTGTGGATTATTTATTTTATATTTACAAATATTTGTTTTTATCAGCTGTTTGGACTCTCAATCTGACGGCACCCATTCACTGCAGAGGATCCATTGGTGAGCAAGTGATGCAATG